TTAATTTCTGATCAGCCTCTTTGCATAAGCATCCCAGAAAGATTAACTTGCAGGCATGTTCATAAAAAAGTGACTATGCATATGGAATTAGATTTTCATATCAAGGTGTCGGATGCTATTCCTGAGCATCTTTTACTCTCCTCTAACCATTGCCATTCCCTAATGACAGCTTTTCTCTTATGCTTCAGTCACAAAGATGGATTTAGCCATTCAGTTCCATTGACAGCCCCCTTTCTTCCCCTCCCCTTTCTAAGAAGAGTAATTACGCACAGAGATTGATAAATACCTTCTCAGCATCTACGAGGTTTCAGTCCCTGAGGCCTGTTAAAAGTACAATATGCTTATTACCTGTGTCTATCATAGCATGATCGAGTGTTAAGAGGTTAATCTGCAAAGTACTGCTAAAAGTCAGAAAGAATTAAAGGCATGAAACTTGGTTTCTGATTTATCAACACACAAACAAATGAGCTTCGCCTAACTTACGAGACTGACTAGCAAGGTACTCCAAGTGTGTGGAAATGTGTGCGGACAGGCTGTGGATGCGATGCTGATCAGGTCTCATTTCTTATCCCTCTTTCCTGTTCTCATTTGTTCCTGCTTCTCTTCTAGGCCCTGTGAGTCTCTTCCCTGGTTCTCTAGTATGCATCAGCCCTACCTCCTCCATTCCTACACCCTGACTTGACCCAACTGCCATCATTGGCTTCTGACCTCACCATGCCTCTTTCCCCCAAATGTCTCATTTTGATCCAGGTTCACCTTTCCTTGCTAGAAGAGGCCCCCTGTTGCCACAGTGGGTGATAGCACCAGCCAAGCCAAAATACCTCAACCCAAGATTGTAGTTGCTTATATCAACTCAGGTGTATCTACCCCACGTGATGGCCACCAAATGTAGTCTGGAATAGGGTTCTTCTGAAGCTTATCTGCCACGCCTCAATGAGAAGATAGTTAGGGATGGGCAAATCTGTTCCAGTTTATCCTACTTTTTCATTTTTCCAATCTTAAATTCAGTTCTCCGCATCAGTTTGTATTTTTTGTTTTTTTACTTGTCAGCATTTTAGTGCATGTTTCTCCTAATACACACATTTTGTGTGCCACTTTGCCTCATGTTTTTGCAAAACAATTTCTCCATATAGAATGCATTTGTGTATCTTCTTTTCACTAGTATATGCATTTCATCAGCATATATTATGCTAATATATGTGTTTTTGTACACAAGACTTGACTGGAGAAGTGCATTACAAAATTCAGGGCAGTGTGAATTTCAAAAGATGGCTGTGCTCCAGTTCACATATTGTTTTGGGAAGTGCAAAATTTCAAAGTGTGAAGGTTCGCCTTTCGTTTATATATAATTTTTATTAACTTTTTTGTTTTACAATTTAAAGCACTCATTTTTACATCCTTAAGATATCAATGACTTCCATTCTTCTCTTTCCATGGTTCATTTTGCATATCATAAATCCCTGCATATTTTACAAAAACTATACCATTCAATATTCCATTATTACATCCATCAAAATTTATTTACACTGTTGAATTTATCTTAATGCTGCCAGCGTTTTCAGCTGCACACAGTTATTTCCCATATATTCAATAAACGTTTTCCAGTCTTCTCTAAATGTATGTCCTTCTTGATCTCTTATTCTATATGTTAAGCCTGCAAGCTTCACTTTTCAACACAAGCTGAATTGAATTTCTCCTCCATCTCTGAATTGGCAGGCAAGCTCTCCTGAACGACCGTTTATGCCCATGGCACCTAGTATCCTTTGTTGCAATGTGCAACTGTGCTGCAATTGGGTGCACTCTCAGTAAATGTTGGGTGATGAAGCTGATGTGGTGCCTTCCAGATACTGCTGGGCCATTAACCATGCTGTCTGGGGCTGACGAGAGTTGGAGTCCAGCATTATCTGAAGGGCACCACCACACTGCTGGTCCATGTTATAATGTGAGATGGTGATAGGGAAGGGCTGTGGCCCAGCAAGAGAGCACATGATTTGTGTGCAGAGTCATTCCTCAGAAAGTCTAAGGAGGAATGGCTCCTGCCTAAAATCCTGGAGAGCTGCTGCAAGCTAGTATGGACAATACTGAGCTAGATGGACCAATGGTCTGACTTGGTATTAGTTAAGATTCCTATGTTCCTTACAGTGCAGTCTGAGCCTGGGTAAACAGGCGATACCCCAGAATGCTAAACAGTGTGATTGGAGGCTCGGTGGTTGCTCAGCAAATAAGTAGGCACAGAGAGGCAATAGAGCGTTTGAAAGCTGCAGCTTTGAACAAATGCTCTCTTTATCCCACTCTTACCGCTCCTTGAGATAAGAGCTCCTGAATCTTGACTGTTTAAACAAGCAATCTGCAGTGGTAAATGAGATTCAAAAATAATAAGGTGGTAGCTAGAAAGTAGGTTCCCAACTATTACTGGTGGTGTCTTTAAAATTCATCCATTTTCACATTCCCTCTAAAATAGCATTTTTATGCAGTCTGAAATTGCATTTTTTCCCTTTTATTTTAAACAGGACACTGGTCTAGATAGAGCATGGGCCTGATCCAGCAGGGATCTTCTCCTTACATATGTTCTGCCTGTGACAGGGCCCTGGGTGGCATCCTGCCCAAGACAGACTCTCAAGTCAGTCCTGGCTGCTATAGATACCTGTCCTAAAGGATGCTGCAGTGTAATAGGATGCTGCCAGAGTCCCAAGCTTACACAGATTTGCAGGTTCGATGCACCCTAAGTTCTCATGACTGTGGACCAGAAAGCGAGCCATGTGACCATAGAAGGAAATGTGGAAATGAACACGGCTCTGCTAAGTGGTTTTCAGTCTGTCCTGCCGTTTGATAGATGAGAGTTTTTATTGGACGCTCTAACTTAATGAACTCCTTTGTGGTAAAAGTAATTCAATAACAAATCAGATTCCTAGTTTGTCATCAGCCCTTTGCTAAAGGAGAAGCCGAGGTGGAGGAGGGATGTAATTTGACTTGATGATTGCTTTATCTCATTACTTAAATTGTGTTAGGAATCCCGGAGAATAATGGGTAGTTGTGAAAAGTTCCCCCAGTATTTTGAAGCAAAAGCCAGTCATCATCTCCTTCACAACCTCCACACCAGCACACATTATGGAAACATCAACCCCACTGGTTCCACTGTGTTGCCTGGACATCTGTCCGCAACAGTGACTTATAGGCAGCAAGACCAAGGTGCATTTGGACATGGGCAGGGCCGGCCCAAGACATTTTGGCACCTGAGGCAAACCACAAAATGGTGCTGCCCTCCCTGCCAGGGAAGAAGGGGTGAGTGAAGATCTATATCTTGGGGCTGGGGGTTAAAGGTCTACATCAGGATCTGCTACCCTGTGGATCCTGCTGCCTGAGACCACCTCACCTAGCCTCATGGGTGGGCTGGCCCTGGATATAGGGAATACTGCATTCATTTATAATAATAATAGTAATTTTATTATTTGTACCCTGCTCATCTGACTGGTGTTGCTCCAACCACTCAAAATAATGCCTCAAAATCCACACTTTCCCAAATTTTGTGATGCAGCTCTCCAGTCAAGCCAAATGTAAACAAAAACACATGCATTATGATAAAATGTGCATAAAAATACAATACTAGTGAAAATAACATACAAAAATGCATTATATTAGGGGAAATCGCTTTGCAAATTGTGTACATTTACTAAAATACACACCCTACTATTTGTCAAAGTCTTTTCCTATATCAACCCTTCCAGGCACTGTGTTTGGTGTGTGTGTTGGGGGAATATTCTTCTCGCTATCCCTCCACTGGGTTTTGCCTGCTGAGTGGTGACACAGGATAGGGCCTTCTCAGATGTGGCTCCCCAGCTTTTGAATTCCCTTCTCTTGGAGAGAATGACAGCAGAGACCTTAACCAATTTCCACCACCAAAAAATAAAAAAAAATAAAATAAGAATTCCATTCTCCCAGGCACTGATGGTTAACCAGCGAGAGCTGCCATTGTTATTGGTCATTGAACTGCTACAGCAATGTTTCAATTTTTATTGGTTGTTCCATTTAAAAGTCATTTTAATTTGGTTGCTTCTATGTTGGAAACTGTCCCGGGGTTTACTGATGTAATGGATAATGCGCGATAAAAACCGGCAAATAAAAAAGATGCAGACCAATTTTTGTGAGGACTTAAATAAAAATTCAAACTGGTGTGGCAGTGTGGCAAATTAAATTAAAGACTGGAAAAAAAGAAATTAAGGTTAATCAAAGTTAGCAGATATTACTCTGAAGGTCCCTTGTTTGGCATGAGATGGTCACCCACAGATTGACTTTCAGCCTGGTATTTGTCTGCTCAGCAACTAAAGAGCTGCTGTATGTTCCAGTGCTGACAGAAACACAGAATGCCACACCAAAGACAAAACAAAGAACCAGGGGATCATTCCCTCCCTCCCCCTGGTAAACAAGCATTAAAACAAAACAAAACTGTTTTTTTCTCAGCCCTCATTTTTTTCTTTGAAGGTGAGGATTGGGTGTCAAAGACATGTCTGCCCACCATGCACAACTTTTAAAAGTTACAAAAAGGGGAGAAAGGGAAGAAGCCCTCCTACCTCCATTGTTACATCTTTCCTTTAAAAGTGTTTTAAGACAATGTCATCAAAAGCCCTGAAATGGCACAAATTCCCTTTCTCTCCATTTCAGGATTTACCCTAAATCTGGAATGGGGAACCCTGCAGCCCTCCAGATGTTCTTTAGACTCCAACTCCCATCAGCCCCAGTCAGAATGGCCAATGGTCAGAGATGATGGGACTTGTAACCCACCAATATGAGAGGGTCTGCAAGTTCCCTAGCTCTGCTGCAAATGATAACCCATAAACTCAGGTCAGCAGTCAAACAGTTAATCTCACTTTGAACATTGGCTAAAAGATATCACTTCTATTTAAACAAAAACAAAAACACAATGGGATCTTTTCTTTATCAGCCATCTTTATTACAGCAAAATTCAACTTTAAACAGTTTCAATAAACTTTTTATTATTATTATGCCTCTCTCTTTCATTTCAAAAAATAAAAAAACAAGTTTCTTAAAAGTACCTGAGTGTTTCATCCATTTCTGCTAAACAAAATTCTGGTTTTTCCCCCCCCAGATGAACTTGTGAGCCTATTTGCCCTGAATTTACACTGTTTGTGGTTTGGAATCAAATTATTTTAACTTTGTTCCAAAATGTTCAAACAGAAATGAAAAACCCCAAGGATTTCATACTGCTCCCAAAATGTTCCTATCTCAAAAAAAGCCTCACCCTAAAAACAGTGCTGGCAGATCTAAAAACTGTTGCCACCTCCATTGGAAGAGAAGTAAGGATTGGTCCTTACAGGTCCAGCAGTAGTAGATGTGAACCTGAGAGTAAAATAAACAGATTGAGCTCAGCCTCCCTGAATAACTACCACTATTTTATTTTATCTATTGTATGCTGCCCCCTCTTCCAATTCATGAACATGTCTGGATCCTGAGATCATCACCTATGGGGATTCTAAAGATACAGATAGGGTTCTGTTTCTTCAGCAATTCTAGGGAATGCAGATATGCCATTGATATAGATTTTCCCACCCAATCTTGCAGTGATGGCCGCTGCCCTCCTTTCCTTCTCCAGCATACTTTCCCAAAGTACTCTGATAATGAAAGGGTGGCGATGGAACCAGGGAGCCACACGGTGCCCTCCAGATATTGCTTGACACCCCAATTCCCATCAGCATAGCCAACAGTCAGGGTCCATGGATGATGGGAGTTGTAGTCCAACAATATCTGGAGAGTGCCACATTATGCTTTAAAAGTTACCAAAAAGCGTGGAAATGTAAAAATAAACTCCCTGTCCATTTCAAGCCCCCTTCCCTATTCCCCAAAATGTGTTTAAGAAAGGAAGAAGCCTGATTCTGTCATCAAAATCCTCCTTCCAAAATTGGCATGAATTACTTTATGCCACCCTCTTCTCCCCATTTCAGGATTCTCCCTACATGTATCTTCATAATTCATCCTAAACGCACCCCTGACCCCCAAAGAAGAAGAGGAAGAGGAAGAGGAAGAGGAAGAGGAAGAGGAAGAGGAAGAGGAGGAAGAAGAAGAAGAAGAAGAAGAAGAAGAAGAAGAAGAAGAAGAAGAAGAAGAGAGTGAACCCTGAAACGGAAAGGAAACTATCCCTAAACATGCAAATTGATTTCCACCTTTGACTATTCTGCACTTATGCACGGCCACTACAAAGCACAGACTCACCCATAGGAAGGAGAAAATGGATACTGTGGACCATCACCTGCCATTGCTGGGGGATCACGTACGCTGCTGGATGGCTTGGTCGGGTTCCTCTGCTGATAAGAGTAACCTGGCTGAACCAGTGGGATGTAGCTGAGCACAGGTGTGTAAGGTGAGCGGAAGATTTGCTGCGGATTGTAAGGCGTGACCTAAAGAATCAGGAGGGAAGGAGGAATGGAAAGGGATGATGCTTTGGGGGAAGCGGAAATTTTTTAGAGTTCACAATGGCTTGAGTAGATACACCAGGATTAATGGGCATGACTGACTCAGGCCATTGATTTCAGTGGGTCTACTCTGAGTATAATTTACTTGGCTACAACCCAATGTCTTAAATTGTTATACCTGTTCAAAATGGGGCTGGAATCACAGAATATCAGAATTATTTATGGAGGGGGGCATGTCCGAGGCAACAGCCACATAAAGGGGTGGCATGTCTTGGTTCCCCACCTGAGAGATCTCACCAGAAGCCACTGCCACATCTCCGTCAGTGGCAGAGGCAGCAAGATGGGCCAGGTGTTCATGGGGCTGCTGCCTCTTGGGTTTCTGTTGCACAAGGTATATTTATGCTGCCTCTTGACTGTCTCACATGGCCTTGATCTTCCCACTTTAAAAGCTGAGTTTGAGAAAGCTCCCTTCTCTCCCTCATCATCCTCTCCCTCTCAACTTACCTAGAAAATCCATATGGATTCTAAACTTGCCAAACATCTTGAGCCCCTGCTTTTTGCCCTACTCCAGCAGAATATTCTGCAAACTATGTACAACTCAGTCTCTCTTATTGATAAAAAATAATCTTCCCAAGCTGGCCATACTTGATCTCCTCCCCTTGTTCATATTGCCTAGGTCCCTAGGTAAAGGGACCCCTGACCATTAGGTCCAGTCATGACCAACTCTGGGGTTGCGGTGCTCATCTCGCTTTATTGGCCGAGGGAGCCGGCGTACAGCTTCTGGGTCATGTGGCCAGCATGACTAAGCCGCTTCTGGTGAACCAGAGCAGCGCACGGAAACGCTGTTTACCTTCCCGCCGGAGCGGTACCTATTTATCTACTTGCACTTTGATGTGCTTTCAAACTGCTAGGTTGACAGGAGCAGGGACCGAGCAACGGGAGCTCATCCTGTCACAGGGATTTGAACCGCCAACCTTCTGATTGGCAAGTCCTAGGCTCCGTGGTTAAACCCACAGCGCCACCCTAGGTCTACTTCACAGCAGGAGGAGCCCAGAATTGGATTCCCAGCCATGTCACTGAGGTGGGCAGAGGAAAATGGAGGAGGAAGAGAAATGGCCTGCTTAAGCCCATATCAATGTATAGGATTTTGGAAGGGGGATTAAACCATGAACTCCATGTGACAATTCCAGAGAACAAATATGGGACTTAGGTCAATCTTTCCGCCCTTGACAGCCATCTAGCTCCAAGGTAGCAGTGAAACTTGGACTAACCAAGGTCAGATGACGTTATGCCAAAGCATAATAACGCCACACTTTCCACAGCATATCCCCATCACTTTCCTTATTGCAAAAAGTCTAAACATTTGGGGAAGCAATTTTGTTGCACAAGACCTCTCAACCAAGTATAACTGTGCAACCCAAATTTGCTGTTATGTGATTGAATCCCACCCCAATATGGTGACATTCTGGAAGCACCAAAAGGCTGCAAGAGATGGACTTGCTTAAAGCCACTGAAAGCTGAAATCATATTCTTCCTCCCCATGCCCAGCAAATCAACAGCCTCTATATTGATTCATGCTAGAGGACTTATGCCATACCTGTCTGGAATAGCATCCCAACTGAGGATGTAGCGTCTGCTGGTATGGGATCCGAGCTCTTTGCTGATACAAACTCTGTTAAAAATACACAAGGCAGGAAGTGACCATTGTAGGCCTCAACCTATTATTCTTATGATTATGATTAACTAATTAATTTTGGATCTCACTCCAGTGGTGATCTGTGTTCCGATATCACATGCTGATCTGAGGACCTCACCGTCATATCTTATATGAGTGGGCAATTCATTTTTTCCTTTTTAATTTTCTACTCATACAAATTTGAATAAATCTGCATCTTGCCAGACTCTTAGACAGATGCTTTTTTAAGAAACTGAGGGAATCATAGAATCATAGAATTATAGAACTGGGTTATCTAGTCCAACCCTCTGCAATGCAGGAATCACAACTGGTAAAGGTTGGTCTATTCCAGTGTCAACTGGAATCCTTGTGCCCTCATCCCTGCCTCACAGTGCAAATCTATACATACTTACTCAAAAGTAAGCTTCACTGTGTTTAATGGTCCTTACTCCTAGGTAGGGATCATGGAGAAATTTAATTATGTTTTCATTTAAGACAAACTAACTTAATTTGAGCTTTTCAAAACCACACAAGGACTGAACATAGCCATCCTTTGACATTTCCACTTTTCCGAATTTTACCATGTTCCCCAGTCACGTCATGTGCCCCAAAATGCATATACTGGAGTAAAATGTCCAGTAAAATTAGTAAAAATAGCACACAGAATTACATTTTATTAGGGGGCATTGTGCTGCAAAAAATGTGTATATCAGGCAAAAATGCATACAGATGTGTATATTAGGAGAGATTCATACTGAAATGCTGACGAATTCTCATGAGGATGCATTTTTTAAAAATCTCAAATTGATGTGGAAATATGGAAAACTGAGCTTCCAACTGGGAAAAGAAGAAACTAGAGAAACTGAAATTGACAGATTCACCCATTCCTACTTCTAGGTAAGCATGTATAGGATTGCAGAAGGTACCACCTTAATAGTAAGGATGGGCAGATCAGTCTGTTTTTAGTCTGTGTCAGTTTTGCACCTATTTATTCATAAATCCATTCTGTCCTGTTTTTGCATTAATCTGTGATTCCGCTCCCCACCCCCAAATCAACATGACAATTTAAATAGGTCATATTACAAACTTATTTAGCTACGTATTCTATCTTAACATAGACATTTTAAAGTGTGTTTTATCCTAAAATATGCATTGTGGGGAAATTTTTGGTATTTCTTTTGAGCCAAAAATATTCAGTGCAATCCTAACCATGTCTACTCAGAAGTAAGGCCTACTCAATTCAGTGGGGCTTACTCCCAGGTTAGTTGGGTTAGGATTGCAACCTGTATCACAAAATTCAGAGAAGTGATCTGTACATTCCCAATCCACACATGAGTCTGGCAGGTGTGAGTCAGGTTAGTTCACAATGGAATGCATAGATATCATATTCAAGAAGCTTCACTACCTGCTAGATGGAAAGGGCATCTTTTCTTCCCCATTCTGTACAACAGTAACACACCAAAACCACAATAGCCCCCAAAGGTGAGCAACATGCCCTTAGCTTCCAATTATCCAAGATAAATTTCCCCCTCTGATTAAACCAAAGCTTTAATTAATATATAAATGGAAGGAATTGAGGATTTTACCTATTATTATGGCTACTGCTGCTATCCTTTCCCCCCAGCTGTGGCTGTTGCCCATTGGGACCGGTTGCACAGTAGGCAGAGAGGACAATAGCAGATGGAGTCAGAACCAATGATAGGCAAAGTTCACTATTTCTAATTTTGTCCCCATCCTCTTCCCTGTTGAGTTCTCCAAGGGCAACACTGGGTCTAAGATGGAGGAAGCTGTGAGAGGGCAATCTGAGGTGTGTTGGGCAGTGCCCCATTAGCCTTAACGGATCAACCTCTGCTGCTTCTTTCTGTGCTATGTATAGAAAATTAAATAAACATGGCAGTGATTTATATTTCTCAAGTCATGTTGACTTTTAATTTGGGAGGGATCATCAGTAGACACATTGGGAAATCATTATGTAGACATGAGATAATAGGAATCATTATTATTGTCATTGCAGTAATTGCTGGGGCTCCCCAGGTTGCTGCAGCTTGGATCTCTGCCCTGTATTTTCTGCAGTGCTAAATTGGGAGGGAGAATAGACATGGCATTCTCCTGTCCATTTTCTCCTTGCCTAGAGTGCTGCAGGGAACAACAGGAACTTTAAAGATAGCGGGGGAAGGTCCATGTTGCATTGTGCCATCACACAAGTTACTGTCATGATGTTGTTGTTTAGTCGTTTAGTCGTGTCCAACTCTTCGTGACCCCATGGACCAGAGCATGCCAGGCACTCCTGTCTTCCACTGCCTCCCGCAGTTTGGTCAAACTCATGTTAGTAGCTTCAAGAACACTGTCCAACCATCTCGTCCTCTGTTGTCCCCTTCTCCTTGTGCCCTCTATGTTTCCCAACATCAGGGTCTTTTCCAGGGAGTCTTCTCTTCTCATGAGGTGGCCAAAGTATTGGAGCCTCAGCTTCAGGATCTATCCTTCCAGTGAGCACTCAGGGCTGATTTCCTTCAGAATGGATAGGTTTGATCTTCTTGCAGTCCATGGGACTCTCAAGAGTCTCCTCCAGCACCATGGTATCATGATATTTATATGGAATTCTATCTTCCCTTCTATAGACACTCCAATCCAGGGCACATACATTCCCCATTGGATCGGGAATCAAACCTGTAAATCTCCTCTTTCTTTCTTTCTCTCTTATTTATTTTCCATAATTTAAAAACATCAACCATAAAAACATTTACATATGTAGAGGTGCTACCATGCTAAACCCTGACCCCTACACTGAACATAAGGATCTCCTGATGAGATGGTATCTGCAAGAGGTCTTCTACCACAGAGCACAGTGGTTGATTGGGTATATATGGGGTAATTTGATCATTAGGATTCCTGGTGCCAAGTTGTATAGGGCTTTGTACACTAGTACTAACACCTTGAACTTAGCCTGGCAGCTAATTCGCAGCTAGTGTAATTCTTTTAGCAACAGCCTGATATGATGGTGATAGTCTGCCCCAGTGAGAAGTTGAGCCGCTACTTTTTGCACTAGCTGCAGCTACAGGGCCAACCGCAGGGGCAGCCTCGTATACAGCACATTGCACCGTTCCAACCTGGAGGTTACAGTGCCAAGTCAACAGTGGTCAAGCAGGTTATCCCCATGTAGAAACAGCTGTAGTTGTCTTACCAACCAAAGCTGATAAAAGGCATGGTTCACCACTGAAGTCACATTAGCCTCTGGTGCCAGAGATGGTCAACAAGACAAGGATGGAAATTTTTGGAAGTTGAATCACCACCTCATTCAAGATGGCCAGATCTACTCCATGCTGCAAGAGTGTGCTAGCCATGCACTGGATCCATTGGTTTCTGAAAACTACCACCCAGTGTCAAATACCTCATTTGGGGAAGGTGATCAAGACCATGTTAGGACAGTTGCAAACACACCTGGATAAAACAGATAATCTTTACCCAATCTGGGTTCTGGCCTGGTTCTGCGGCTGAATCAGACTTGGCCATGCTGATGGATGAATTTTATCAAAAGGATGTGTGTGTGTGTGTGTGTGTGTGTGTGTGTGTGGTGCTGTTATTATTACTTAATCTCTCAATGGCTTTTGATACCATTGCCCATGGTATCCTCCTGAGCTACCTTGATGAGACAGGTATTGAAGGGTATTGAAACCATGATGTTACAGCGGATGTTACCCTAGACATCTCAATGCTGTAAATGTGAAGCCAAGATTGCTACAGAGATGAGAGACAGGACCCTCAAAGTGCCTTTCAAATAACACACAATAGGCTTCCAATTGGTCTAAAACTCTATTCACTGGAGATGATGTTTATATGCCCTGGACAATACAGAAAAGCTCTGTGGGATGGCTACTTGAGGATGTGATGAAAGCAGAGAAATGACCCATCTTCCCTGTCTTCAATACCATGTGATAAACATGACTGTGCTGTTTAACTCATGTTGGGTCAGCTTCCCAGTGCATCTTTTGCTACTTGCACTCAGTTGTCCAACCTGTTTCATCATCCTTAGTGCTCTGATACGTGAAGGTGCAGAACTGGTTCTGCAGTGCTAGAGGAGACAGTTGGGTACCCCCTATCAAGAGCTCAATGCATCTCCCCATTCTACAGTGAAACAAGGGTCTCAACAGGATTGCGTGTTCACTGGAAAAACTCTGAGAGCATTCAGGAATCCTTCCATGTCTAGTTCATACCTTCCTCCAATTGTAGCAAAAGACTTAACTGAACACACCCAATTATTTCTGCTTTTTCACGCAAGGTGTGTCTCCAAGGCCCTCTGTTATTAGTAGTGGCCTCCTCTGAATCAGTTCCCCTGTCAACATACACCATTAATGGGCGTCTTCATGATTTTCAGGTCCTCTCCAGCATCCTGAAAACTTGAACACGCGGAGATCAGGAACTGCTTCAGTGTTCCCTGTGCCACTGAGACTCCTGCCCTCTCTGACTTACTGCCTCTTATGCTTCACACAGCCTCCCAGAATGCCTGTGTGGTGCTACTAAAGATGGAGGAGAAATTTGGTTTGCATTTTAATGCGAACCTACCTAGTTCGCGCTTCCTGCAAAACTGCTGTCCTTCACTTTGAACTTCTCTTGAATTTTGTAATACAGTTCACCAACCAAAAAATGGGCACAAAAACACATGCTTTAGGGAGGAGTATGCATAAATATGCATATATTAGTGAAAATTACATATAAAATACATTATACTACAGGAAATTGCTTGCATTGCAGAATAGCATGTGTATATGAGAAATGAGCACTAAAATGCCAATGAATATTCATTAAGATTTCTTTCTTTTCTTTTTTACATTGCAAACTGATGTAGAAATATGATGAACTGAACTTAAGACTGGGAAAATGAGAGAAACTGAAACTGGCAGATCCATCTATCCCTAGATACTACCTCTTGTACTTCACATTGCTCTAAAAATGCCCATAATGTCCCACAATCCCCCACAATGTCTTGGGCACAACTCCCCAAATTCCCATGCCTTGATGCAACTATGCCTGCAACTAAGGCCAAATTCACACCATACCCTTACAGCACCATGACACCAGTTTAAACAGTCATGGGTTTCCCCAAGGAATCCTGGGAGCTGTAATTTGTTAAGGGTGCTAAGAGTTGTTAAGGGTCCCCTATTTCCCTCGCAGAGCTACAATTCCCAGAGTTCCCTGAGAAGAGGGATTAATTGCTAAACCACTTGGGAAATGGTAGCTCTGGGGAAAGGGATAGGGGTGTCATGACAACTTTCTGCACCCTTAATGAGCTACAGCTCCCAGTGTTATTTGGGGGAAGCCTTGGCTGCTTAAGGTATATGGTGTGGATGTGGCCTAAGCCAAAATAAGCTGATAACCAAAACCTTATTTAGGCTCTCAGATAGAAATTGTGATGGCAAAAAGCACACAAGGGCTGAGGGCACATAAACTCTGGTCTGAAGGGGTTTTGGAATTGCATTATTTCCACTGAATTCACTATAAAACCTCCACCCAGGTGGGAACCCTAATAAAGTTCTTGATTGTGGGAAGGTTTCTAAACATGTCCACCTGAGTGTGCATAGAAGCCTCCTTCAGATCCTCCCACTCAGCATCACATTGGAGCAAACACACCTGGCACATATGGGGACACTAGGGGCAGGGTGGGTGTGCATGCCCTCCGCCCTATACCTGCTTGATCTCCTCATGCTTCCAGAAAGAACACAGAGTTGGGCTCCAAACTAAATATGTGATGAAATCAAATATTCTTTCCCTGTTAACTACTGCCTCTCCTTCCCTCCCTGTTGTCTCTTGTGTGCCAAATTTTATACTGTAAATTCCTTGAGGGAGGGACCTATCTTCTTGCACCAGGCAACTGATGGCAGCAGCAGCAACCGGGGAGGAGATACCACAAACTAGAATTCATCTGGTCATGAAAATCAGATGAGCATGGATGAGCCAATCCCAGGCCACGGCCTGCCTTATGACTCAAATATTTCTTGCACATTCCTTCAATCTGGATTCTTCACTGAAGGAATCCATAGTTAGGTTTTCTGGGCTTCCAGAATGTCTAGAAGCCCTCTTAATTTCTATTAATTGCCACCCTTCCAGATTTGGTCTTGGTCGGAATCTTGACACTTCAGGCTTGGTTGCCTGTCGGTGTTTCTAAATCTGAGTTATGCAACCTCATAGCTCTTTCTTTCCTCCTCACTGCCAGCCTCATTCAGTTTTGGAGCTCTTTCCACACCCCATTCATAAGGGCTTGTGTCATTCATTACCTGATACTGTGGGAAGCTGGAGTGGTTTGGGAAAACAGGAGGTGGAGGGTAGTTAAGGCTAAGCCACATTGGCTGTTTTAATGAGGTGGCCGTTGAGTTCGTCGGGAATCGTGGGGTGAAAACATTCCCACTGTATTTAAGGTTGTTCTTATCAATGGCTGTAGAGGTTGCTGTGGAAAATACAAAACAGAGTTAGGCACCATCAATGGGGGCTGTTTGATAGAACTCTTAACGTTTTAACTATATGTATATTTGCCTCATATCTGGCATTGGTCAGGAATTCTAGGAAACCAAAGCAATTAGCACAGTTTTGAAATCAATGCTTCAAATCAGTGCAGGGTTGAAAGGTTGAGTCTGCTATCTTGATCCCAGTGGCATTCAGTTGTATCCTGTACAAAACCAGTTGTAGCCTGAACAAAAACCTGTTCTTTGATCTCAGGAGCCATCAATGCAAAATTTGATTATGGTAGTTTAAGAGGTGTCCCAATGTATAGTGAGCAAACAACTTTCTAAAATAGATAATAGACCTCTGTGAAACAGAGCATTTTTGCAGCTGAAAGAGAGGGCCACTGTTGTTGTAATAAATAAGAAGAACAACAACAATAACAGTAGTAGTAGCAGTCAAAACACTGGTCTACCAAGTTCACCACTGTCTTCTCTGACTGCTAGTGGTTCTCCAGGGGGTCTTTCTCAGCCATCCTTGGAGATACCAGAGATTGAACTCAGGACCTTTTGCATACAAAACTTGTGCTTTGCCAATAAGTTACTGCAGTTGCTCTGAACCAAAGGAACAATAAAAGGAACAATAAAAGAAGGTAATTGATGAGGATCCTCTATCAACCCTAATCCCTGACCCCAAGGTGTTATACAAGCCTGGCTCTGCCTTTCCTGCCCACAGCTCAGAGCTGCCACCCCCCCCCCGAAGTGACCCACCTGTAAAACTGAAGATTGAGCAAGGATGGGCACCCAATTCATATAGAGTTTGACTGCAAAATAAACAGGAACTCCTGGGATGCCAAAGGAAAGAGGATAACAGGAGGAGTGGGTAACAGGAGTTCCTTCAACTGACTCATCTGTTTTAACCAGAATGCTACATAATAACATAAGAAGGGCCCCACTGAATCAGAACTATGGGTCGTCTAGTTTAGCATCTTGTTTCCTACTTTGACCAATCAGATGCTTTTAGAAGCCCACTGGCAGGACAACTAATATTCAGTAGCATTCTGCCTTGGAACATGCAGGCTCTATATAGCCACCATGAGCTGTAACCATTTATAGACTGATCTTTCTCCATACACTTGTCTGATACCCTTTTAAAGCCTGCACTACATCTTTTGGCAGATAATTCCGTAGATGAACATATGTGAACATGTCTTTCCTGAAACTCCTATCAATCAGTTTCATAAAACAATGATGATAGGGAAAGCATTTTTCTCTGCACATGTTCACCACACACCTTGGGTTCCTTTCCCTTCATCATTCTCGAATAATCATCACTAGTTAGCCCACAACCCTTACCATTATTTTGACAGAGCCCATCAGCAACTAGTTCAGGGTCAGTTTTTGAGCAGATCTTGGCAAATACTGGGAGCTGTTTCTTTTGCACAGATCCTTGACTTTCCATGACCGCCATTATTGGGGATGGCCTTGTTACATTGTCTTTGTGGGCTGCAGATCCAAAGACATTGTTCTGCAGTAGTAGGTCCTTGATAAACTTGGTTTCTTCTGTCACCATTTTGGTGTCCAGAGTTTTGGTGGCCTCAACACGTTTGAGTGGGAACTGCGCCAAAAGCTTGGCAATCTGAGTGTTGGAACCCATCATATTACTGTTTCCACTTTCTGTACTTTTGGCATTCTTGTAGATTAATTTTGCAGGGAGCAAGATCCCTGTGACAGTGGACTTAGTGGACAGCTGGACATCACATATGGACCTCAGTTTCACTTCCCTTTTGTTTCCAGTGAGTGCTCTGTAGACATTTTCCATTGCATCCCTCTCATCTAACATCTGGTCTCCATCAGAGGGCATTGTGAGGTGGTTGTTTGCTGGGGCCTGACACGAAGCAGCTGGGGTGGCCTTCTCATCTTCAGATCTTTGCATCTCTAGTTCAGTTGCATTCTCTTGTGTAAGGCTCAAATACTCTTGCTCAACCAGCATGGATATTTCATCTTTACAAATGCTGTTTTCCAAAGATCTATGTGAAACAGAGAAAGAACCATTTATGTAGGATTGCACAAATTGGATAAGAGGAAGGGCTGTTGCCTAGTGATAGAGCACATGCATTTCATGAAAATCCTTGACATCACTATGTGGGTTTAGGAAAGACCCCTCTCTGAAACCTTGAAAGCTATTGGCTTTTGTTAGCTTTTGTCAGCATGGACAATACTGAGCTAGGTAGACCAGCTCCCTTTGATCATAGAAAAGGCAACTACCAGTGTAGTTAAATAGAAAACAAATCCTTTCTTCAACCAAGTTTGATAGGGGATAGTATAAAAATGTTAAAACGAAACAAACAAAAATATTCTACATATTATATTTATACATCACCATTCAGCCATATAGGATCCTAAAGAGGCTTGTCCAGAAATGCAAGACTATTCACAATTACATCAATCAAAATACTAAAGTAAGGGCCCCTTCAGACATCCTTTTATTGAGCATTCATGATAATTTCTGCACATTGTGGTACTGAGACAGTTATTTGCAAGGGGGGGAGAGAGTGTTTGTGAAAAACTAATACTCAATGGAAATAGGCTGATTTGTTGGTCACCAATTTCCACCTGCATTTTTCCTGAAGAACTGTTTGGGTCCTGCAATCATTCCTTGATAATACTTGAAAAGCCTCCATGGGCTTTATGACTACTTGCAAGGAATGTTTACCAAACCCAGATGGCAGACCTCCTCTCCTGCTCATCATTCTACCCCTTTGCAACCAACCTTTGTAAAAGGCAGCAAAGTTACTGGTGGTAGGAGAAAGCCTTTGACTGTGACCCAGACAGGCCTGTTACCCTGGCTGCCCAATGGATCTAAAAGTTGAAGCATCATTTTCTGTTGGGATCAGCAGATTTGTAGGAAACATTGCTACCCCCTCAACTCGCACTACTATTAGGGATTAAAGAAGACATTGCTTCCCATTCTGTCCTGTATTTGTTGCATGCAGCACTGTCTCCATGCTGCTGCAGTTTGCCTTCTGCCCAAAATTACATCCATCATCTTACTTTCTGCTGTAGTGAAATTACAAAAATCACATAATTAAATACACAAATACCACAAGTCTCATTGTCATTCATTTCAATGCAAAGGAAACACAAGGCAAAGTGTGGGAGGATGTAATCAATTACATATCCTTTGCAAACTGAAAGCAACAACAGTGAATACCAATCATATATGCTGGACTGATTCCCATTCCAGACAAGGGATGAATAAGCAAACATTGACAATTTCTTCTCTCGTTGCTGCTTTTGTCAGAATTCTCTGACATCCCTAGTTACTCCAGAGCTCTGATATTATTTGGAAATATAACAAACAGGAGTGAAAAGAATGATGTGGCAAGTGAAGTGAAGGTGCACTGTGGAAAAGAGACAAAAGAGTAACTAAAGCAAGGGAGTCCATTTCCATGCTACAAAAGAGGGCCACAAAGATTAAGCCTTTGCTTTTATGCTGTCTGAGAAACCGAGGAAGAAGCCACAGTAAGAGTTTGTACAACTGCACCATCTGGCAACACAAACAAGAACTTTGTTTGGATTGCCAATCCAGCTTGATCACTCATTACCGATTGCCATTAACAGCATAAATGTAGTTTGTTTGTTTTTTACTTACTTTGTTACAGGCTCTGAGGATGGAACAGCTGGTGTTATAAACATGCACTATGTATGTACTTATCTATACATATAAATATTGTGTCAAATTTCTTTGTAAACTGCATATTACTTAATTATCCTCTAATTATGGCATCACTGTGTAATTAGAGCTGCCTTTATTATTTTATAAATTGAACCAATCTTCCATTCCCTTTCCTTTAGAGCATCTCTGAAATGTTGCTGGGTTATTGTTTTTTAATTCAGTGATCTTTTCTCGGTATATATCTCCTGCAATTGATGCAAAAGACTGAAAGACACCCCTGATCATTAACCAGAGAAATTAACCCACCAGACTCCTGGGTGGTCTGATGTGACTGTCAAAACGGCTAGTTGTCTCCATTCCTCCTTTGCCTCTTGGATTGTGATGATAGAGGGATAAATGTCAGTACATAGGAAACTGGAATTGGCCAAGGGACACCAATTGTTGAATTGCTGCTCAAATTGCAGGGGCATGGTGAGGATGTCTGAGAACGCCAAGGAAAATGGAAACAAAGGTGGAAATTGCTGGTGTTTGTTCATTTGTCCCATGTCTGGAACGGGAATCAATCCAGTCAATATGAGCAATATTTGGTGTACTTGTTACTTTCAGTCTGCAAACAACAAATAATTGATCGTGTTCCTCCTTCCCCATTCACATTGTTTCCTTGGTATTGAAATGAATGGGGTGGTATAACATAACGACAATGTATTTTATGTAGTTAATTACTCAAGTTACATAATTTTGCCATAAAAATGGACAGTGAGACATATAATGCAGTTTGTAAGAACATAAGAAGAGCCTGCTGGATCAGGCCAATGGCTTATCTGGTCCAGCTTCCTGTTCTTGCAATGGCCAACCAGATGCCTCTGGGAAACCAGCAAGCAAAACATGAGCACAAGAGCATTTGCCCCCTCACAGTGTCCAGAAGCTGACATTTGGAAGCTTTGCTGCTTCCATTGCTGTTAGTAGCCATTGATATCCCTCTCCTCCATGGATTTGTCTAAACCCCTTTTAAGGCCATCCAAGTTGGTGGCTAAACCCAGATACACTATGTCAACAGCTTGTAACTCTATCAAAATAAATAAATAAATGAGATTTGTCTAGCATGGCTTGTTTTTGAGAAGCCCATGCTGGGTCTTAGTGATCCTAGCATCCGCCTCTAAGTGCTCACAGATTGACTGCTTAATTATCTGTTCTCAGACTTTTCCTGGTATTGACATTAAGCTGACCAGTTGGTAGTTGCTTAGGTCTTCTTTCTCCCCTTTTGGAAAATGGGGACAACATGTGCCTGACTTGACTATTCAAGTCAGCACCTGACCAAAATCCTTATAAAGCTAATAGATAGTAACAAAATTGATGAAAGCCAGTACTCAAAATGGATAAAATTGCAAAAAAAATAGTATAATATCAATTTCACTTCTCTACTAAGATCAAAGTCTGATCAAAATTCAATAAACAACAACAAATTTAGTCAGAGATATATATATATATATACCTTGGGTTAAGAACTTTGCTTCAGGATGAGAACAGAAATCGCATGGTGGTGGTGTGGCGGCAGCGGGAGGCCCCATTAGCTAAAGTGATACCTCAGGTTAAGAACAGTTTCAGATTAAGAACGGACCTCCAGAATGAATTAAGCTCTTAACCCGAGGTACCACTATATATGTTGCTTTCATTATCTGATGTTTCAAAATATTTTTGTTTAAAATGATTTGATATTAACACTGTCACTCTGGATATATATTTTTTTATTTGAAATTGAAAAGTGAGCTCCAAGTAGCCTAGATAAATCAACTCGATTTGGGACTGCCGTTCTCTGTTACTAGCACCTATATCTCTCAGTGCCTCATTTTGTCCTGAAAACCTCCAGAAGGAGACACAACCCAGAAGACTAGCCTGGTTCTCCCTCCTCATGTGACTTCTGCAAGGCAGTGGGGCTTGTCTTGAAACTGCAGAAACTTGAGAAATTTCATATCACCTTTCGGGGACTGTTTCTGATGAGGGAGAAAGAATTAGGCATGACACAAGCCAAACTGTCTGTGTGGTGTGTGTGAATCCTGGTCAGCTTCTACTGAGGCATGTGATTAAATCTCACTGAATAAAGTGAAGAGAATTTTGATCTTGTCATTTTAAATTCTCGTGACCATGGAAGCAGAAGCCTCCATGACAAACACCTTTGATTCATTAGAGCCTTCCTAAAGGGCACAGTTTTGTTGTTGTTCTTTGCATCCTGCCGCTGCCCTGTTTAGATCTCTGCCTACACTTGCCTGCCAAGGATGGAAGGTGTCTGTTCAATTTGTCATCTGCTGCAACATTTTGGGCCAAGATTATACCTTCTGCCCTTTTGCTTGATCCACGGCCTTTAATTATTTTAACATATTGACTTATGCAAATAGGATGCTCCAAGTCCAATTTGAAAGGGCTCTGGAATCTTTTGAACAAACAACAAAGATTTGCCTTCCTGGTCTGGGGTATTTTCTTTTGCTTAGTGTTATTTTGTAACCACAAAGGGATGAGAATTAGGAGAATTCTATCACAGTGTCAACATTATTTTTCATTACATTAAGGCTGAGAGATGCCATAATTTAACGTCATGAATCCCTTCTGGCCCCAACTTGTTATCCCTTCCTCACTGAGACTGAAGTACAACCTTTTCCCAAACTTTTGATATTGAGGACACAGTTTAAAACTAGAGGCACACACTCAAAAAATAAAATAAAAATAAAAATGTATGTACCTCTGCACTCATTTTCCGTGTAACTGAATGGCAGCCTAGTTAATGTTGCCCCACTCTTTGTTCAGTCAGTGAGAGTTCAGTGGTAGACAATACTTTCGGGGCAATGATGCTCCTACTTCTGGGCAGGGCTAGTGTCCAAGCTGATGGGCCCCATGGCACTGACCATCTTGCAAGACCCGCTCCCTGATTTGTCTGGTGTATTTTCAAACCTGGACAGTTGCTTTTTGCCATTAATCAATTCACATGCTTACAAAATTTGCTATAATCTTCCTACTTTGGCAGCATCCTAGAGAATGAAAATATAAATACAAATTCCTCCTTCTCCCTTTCTCTTTTCTACCTTTCCCCTTGACATTTCCTCACTAATGGAGGCTTTGGTAAAACACCCCCTTGCCAAATCTGGCATTTCAGAAAAGTAGATCTTTTTAGCCACTACCTTTGAAACTCATTTTTGTTTTTAACATCCGAATGCTTCCTTTCATCTTTCCCCTTGAAATATTTCAATTTTAAAAATATAAATGCACAAGCAACTATGGGGACTTGTGGTTGTTTCCAATATCACAGGTGTAGGCTTATATCACAAGGAGACAATTTTTACAGTGGGGAAAAAGATGTTCTATTTATTCTGCACCTTCTCTTTTAATATGATATTGAAGCCGTCTCATAGTGTGGTCAGATTTCACCCTTAAAAAGATTTGAGTCTAAATGTGCAGCCAATCTGAATTCCATGCCCCTACTTATGAAATCCTCTTGGGGTTTGACTGTTTTAGATCTCTGGAGGAGAGTTCTAAAGTTGAGGATTAGGAGCTAAGCATACCTTTCCACATGCATAGGAACATAGGAAGTAGTTTTATACTGAATAGGACCACTGGTTCTTCTAGCTCACTATTGTCTATGCTGACTTGCAGTGGGTCTCCAGGGTTTCCCAACCAGGGAGTCTCTCCCAGACTGACCTGGAGATGCCAGGGATTGAATCTGGGATGTTCTGCATTCAAGGCAGATGCTCTACCACAGATCTATGGCCCTTCTTACATGCCTTTGCCACATGGCAGCGGTGGCCAACTGTCAAATCTCAGCAGCCCCCAGCTAACACGGCCTCCAAGGAAGATGGCAGTTGTATTCCAACAACTTCTGGAGACCCAACGTTAACCACCCCTGTTGTATGGTCTTGGCAGATGGAGAACACGAAACACTTAATGTCCAAAAATATGAGAATGTGTGGCATCCTTCCTACAGCCATAATTTTGGGCCAAGAAGTGTTACTGGTCCAGGGTGCCTGTGGTTATGACAAGGCACTCAACAGATGCTCAATATTTACTTTCCACTCTGTTATTAATGCATGGTTCTCTGGCATTCAAAGAGGTCCTTGGATTGAATGCTCACAGGTCCAGGCTCAAAGTTAGACTGAGAACAATTTGAAGAGGGTTTGACCACAAAAATTGCAGTTGGGTGCATGGAAGAAGATTGTCCTTGGGGCATGTGAAGCCCATGGGGACTGATTAGGGCATTATACAATTAAATAAATGAATTACATAAACACTTTCCCATTATTTCAGATTAACCTCTATGAAATATATTCTCCAAGACTCCAGTTTCAGCTAGCTAGGTAGAGCTTCTATTGATTTGTGAGTTAGGAAAGATTCCTCCTCTCCTTTTTGTTTTGTTTTGTTGAGGTGTTTTGTTTTTTAAACACTCACTCTTTTTGGGAGCTGCTGGTGGTACTACTGCTATCTTCTCTGAGAGCCTCTGAAGATGTGACAGGATGACAGCTAAGTTGGAGAAGCGGTGATGAGGATCTTGGTTGGAGTTCCTCAGGGAGGCCTTGGACCCTTTTCCAGATCTCATGGCAGGCTTTGTCCAAGCTGTCCTGGGGAGTGTTGTGATGGATCCAGATGTGTCTTGGAAAAGGGCCTAGGGGGAAAGGACCTTTAGGGTTGACTGTTGAACACTGAAGGCTGCTCCTACCAGTCAGCATCCTGCCTTGTACAATAAAGAACAGGGGAATTAAAAATTAAAAACAGGAGAGCTGCCTAGACACCTTTGGGTAGTGTGTTTTATTTTTTTTATTTTTTTAAAAAAAGGTGGCATAGAATGAACTAGATGGCAACAAACCGTGGTAGCCAAGTAACTGTAGAACCCTTGTGGCATAGCAACTGTTATGAAGGATAACAACCGGATGGAGCTATACTGAGTCCCAAAGACCCAGCAGCAGCTGAAAAAAGATGGCACATAAATGAATTCAAAAGAGCTCAGTGTCTCAAAGTGATATGTCTGGAACATATAATCTGGGATGCTGCTTTCAGTCTTGCTGGCTGGGACTGATACAATCAGCTATACTTGTAGTCCAACAATATATGGAGGGCACCACATTGGGAAACAGGGTTCTAAGCCCAACCACATAGAAGTGCATTTGTGCAAGGAAATCCATCCCTTGATGCTCTCTTTTCTCCTCCCTGCATTCTACAGTTGGTTTCTTCTGTCAAAATTAAGTTGTAAGCTTTTGCCTCTTCTTGCTAAAAACAGGTATGTTATTCTGTTGAGTACAGTGTGCAAAGGTGTAGTAAACAACAATAGATGGAATGTTTGTCTGCTGCCCTACTAATCCTATCAATATATATCAACAAAGATAAATACCTGTGTTAAACCAAAGTTTCCACAGAAGAGATCCCGAGAAGCCATTTGAAGGGGGGGGGGGAGCTTGCAGCTGCTCTCCATGTAAAACTTTTCAACAGATCCCATAGCTGTGCCTTTAAGAGCATTTGACCAACCGGCAAGTGATAGGTAGCTTCATAAGAGACGGGGAGCAATCATTGCTTCTTTATCCCAGAGTCCCAGATGTATAACCTGGTATCTTTAGCTCCTGGAATTGAAGGGGTTTATTCAGCCTTCAATCGCTGTATTGTTTTGGGTAGGAGTTTCAAAACAGGAGGAATCCTTTTCCACTTACTTGTTCCCGTTATTATCTTTTGACTGTAGGTGGCACTGCAGAGTGATCTTGTTTTCTTTTTTCTTTTTACAACTAGTCGAAATGGTTATGAGCTTTTAAATATATTTCTTAGCAAAGTAAAACACTTACCAATTAGGGTTCAGGACAGAGAGATCTAATATGGATTAACGAATAAATTCTTTTTGCAAAAAGAGAGAGTGTTTGTGTGTTATTTGGGATGTATGCAACCATTTCCCTGGGAAAACATTCACTTTCATAAAGAAATTGAAATTAAGTAGGCAGGGGTTTGTTGAAAGTTAATTTCAAATGCTGGACCCATAACCATAGTGTTATATTGAAAGGAACAAAGGACAGGCAGCAAGTAATGAAAGTCTACCCCCCTCCAAGGAACAGGTAAGGGCTTAACCACACTTCTCATTCTGCTGCTTCTCACCCCGCCCCACATCCCAGGGGAAACCACTCTTTAGCATTCAGTCAGAGCAAACAGTGATTTGGGTTTTCTCTGGATTGATGTTTGCCCTGATTTTTGCCTTGATTTAGCACTAAAGAGCAGGGTGAGAAAGGAGTGGGGCAAGTAGAAAACCACTCAGACCCATTCTTCCTAGGCATGGGACAAGCGGAAGTAAGGACAAACCCCACCCCCTCATTGCCACTGGCTTTGCACTTACAGCAATGTCATGGCTTCTGTTCTCCCCACCCATAAATTTGTTCAGGCTTGTTTTCTTTCGCTGAAAATCTCAGATCAGGTTCCATTTTTTAAAAAATAAAATAAAGCACATAGCCATTGCTTTTGCAAAAGACAGGAAAGTCACGAATCCTATGCATGCATGCATGCTCTGGCAAGAGTCCAGACATGCATGCCAATAGAAAGTAAGCAGCCTGTTGAATTAACTTGTTTAAGTGCCAGTAGCAAGGCCCATTCAAGTCTGTAGGATGCATTTCTGAGCTAAATGTACACAGGGGCTAATGGGAAGAAATCCCACAAACCAGTCCCTATACAGTGGTACATCTGGTTACGTACTTAATTCGTTCCGGAGGTCCGTTCTTAACCTGAAACGGTTCTTAACCTGAAGCACCACTTTAGCTAATGGGGCCTCCCGCTGCTGCCGCGCCGCCGCCGCATGATTTCTGTTTTCATCCTGAAGCAAAGTTCTTAACCCGAGGTACTATTTCTGGGTTAGCTGAGTCTGTAACCTGAAGCATATGTAACCTGAGGTACCACTGTATTTAGAACTTGCTACTAGAAGCCCCTGCCTCCAGCTGCTAGCCTTTTCCTAGTTCTCTCACTACATGACCATGTTCTACCTTCTCTGCTGGAGGCAGTATGCCTCCGAATATCAGTTTCTGGGATTCACAAGGGCAAGGAGTGCTCTCATAATCAGGTCCTGCTTGTGGGCTTCTGATGAACGCATCTGGTTGGCCACTGTGAGAACAGGATGCTAGATTAGATGAGCCTTTGGCTCAACCCAGTACCAAGGGATGTTCTTATATGAGTTGCTTTGTTACCCAGTGTGAATATATGATCTAATTCCAGATCTGGCTGCTCACAATCTGAGACTTGTTGGAGTTTGGTATATATTGCAGCAGAGTGCAGAAATGAAAAAATCTGGGAGAACTGCTGGTTGAAAGACTCAAGGAACGTTTGCATTAGGCATGGGAGGTTTCACTCTGGCAAATGCAGCAGAAAAGGGGGGATGTTTCTGTTTCAATTCGGCTAATTGATGACACATCCTGGAAACCTGATCTGCAGATCTCTCACAATAGGAAAGTGGAACCTGAGAAAGAGATGATGGAGCCAGTAGCAGTAGTGGCTCAGTTCCTCAATGGTGATATACCTAAGCATATTGCTTACGCTCTCTCTCTGAGACCTAAGCTCTTACCTAATCTCTTATCTCCATATGGAGCTTGGAGATGGAGCAGAGACAAAGGCAGGGAATCTTTTTATGTTGGGTTGCATCCCTTTGTGGGTAATTTTTTGGGAGCCTCTTAGCTGTGGTGGGTGTGGCTGAACATAAAGTGGGCACAACCACCCCTTCTCTCTCTCCTTATCTCATATGATGGTGAGCAGAGATCCCAATGACCAGTAAAGCCAGCTCATTCTGGTTTTGTCCCCAACCTCTCCCCTGATGATTTCTACAAAGTCAGCAATGAGACTTACAAGGAAGAAGCCAACAGCCAGTACCACTCCTTGGACTAGTTGTAACTAAGGAGGCAGGCAGGTGGTGTCTAGCAGAGGGGAGACAAAGGCTGGTGGGGCAGTGCCCTGTTCACCCTAATGGAGCAGCATTCACTGGCGAGGAAAAAGAAACTTGCCTCTGCTTTGCTCAGTGCTCTGCCTAGCACTCGCTCACTCAAACAATTGCTGCAATGCAGCAGTGGTGGCACCAGTATGTGGCACATGATCAGAGCAATGCACGTGCATGCACAATGCCTGCTGGAGTACATGGGCTGGGATGGCTCTCTGCCTATTCAGTGATGGGCCATTCCAAGCAGTGCTGTTGGTGAGACACTGGAAGAAGACAACTAGGCAAGACAGCCCAAACCATTTACAGGCATGCATGGCACCGAATCAGGACAATGGGAATTGGGGGAGGGCAGGAGAGAGTACAGGAGCAGCACCTGAGAACAGGAATTGATACCTTTCACTCCCACCATAGCATCTGCTGCCTCACTTTGCTTAATGATAGGCCTGGCCCTGGCCCTGTGCTTAGTTTTGCACATACAGTACAATTGCATCATGCAGGGGTTCGGTTCCACCTATACAGTGGTACCTCAGGTTAAGTACTTAATTCCTTCCAGAGGTCCGTACTTAACCTGAAACTGTTCTTAACCTGAAGCACCACTTTAACTAATGGGGCCTCCAGTTGCTGCCATGCCGCCGGAGCCCGCTTTCTGTTCTCATCCTGAAGCAAAGTTCTTAACCTGAAGCACTATTTCTGGGTTAGCAGAGTCTGTAACCTGAAGCATATGTAACCTGAGGTACCACTGTACACAAAAACATGTATAGTCAAGCCACTCCTGCACGACCATCCCTAGCCTTCTGGATATTAGACCTAGTACAAAAAGCTTTTAAGCTCTCTGCCTTGCTTGTCAGGTGAGACCCGCTCAGCACACCAGCTCCAGAAGGCTAGGGATGCTCACAGAGGAACTCAAATGGTGACATGAGATCTCATGAGAGCTTCCCTTGGTGCATCCCAAGAAAGACAGATTTTTCCCCCAGAGAAAAAAGAGCTTTTAAGCTCCCCTGCCTTGCTTGCATTTAACTTGCAGAATTTCAGCCAGCTGGCCTTCAACAAGGTGTGGTTGAAATTGTGCAAGTTAAATGTGTGTGAGATGTGGTTGTACTGTACGTATATATGTATGTATGTGTATTGTAATTAAACGTGAAAGGTACAGTTCTTATCTCCCTTCCTTGCAGTGGTGTAGCATGGGGGGGGGGACACAGGGGAAGTTGCCCCAGGTGGAAAATTCTTAGGGGTGCAAAATTTCAACACCCGTTGCTGCCTCAATACAACTGTGCTCTTCTGTCACTGGGCTCCTTTGGAAATGGCTTCTCTGAGAGAACCAGGAAGTGACCTCTGCAGACAAGAGAGCAACTCTTCTTTTCTTATCTCTGCAGCTGCGATCTCCTAGGTGACACAGAGGCCCTTACAAAGTTGGAGGCACTCCTCTACTCCATCCGTTCCCCTCCCTCCCACCCCCCTTCATGTGGCCCCAGGCACTGGCAACCCACACTACGCTATTGCTTCCTTGCATGTAGAAGGGAGGCAGGAAAATCATATTTGTGGATGATGGAAAGCTGGGTGTAAGGGCAAAAGTGGGAACTTCATCATATGGCTGGTTCTTGTCCTGAGGTTCAGACCTTGAATAGAAGGTGGGGCTTGGGAGCTCAGGGGTGGTGTTTTAGAGATTAGCGAATGGATCTTGGTAGGGCAGGAAATGGAGTGCACTGAAGGCACCTAAGTCATTAAGAGCAGAGCCTGGTGGAAGGTAATGGACTGATAGGGAAAAAGCTCAAGGCAGTAGTTCCATTCACACACAAACTTTCTGGCAGCCTAAGCTTTAAAACAGTGGCAAATGGATCAGTCCCGAGCAAAATTTCTTACTTACAGCACAATACTTGCTGGCTACAATGGCTATGTTCTATGTCCACGGCAAACTGAAA